GATATTGATACGTCTGCCTCCTGGAGAGTGTTGTTCACTTGGTTGGCTGTTGTGAAGGGCTTTCTCTTCACCATGGAGATTATTCTGCGATCATCACTGTTGTCTTCTGTGGGCGCCCAGGTCTTTATGCATTGATGAGTTCACCAGTGCTTTCTTTCTTTCTCAGGATGAACCAAACTGTAGATTTTGCCACTCATGGACCACTATTGTAGCAATTTCTCTGATGTTTTTTTCTGTTTTTGCAGCTTAAGTATGGCTTGTTTCACCTGCATGGAGAGCTCCTTTGACCGCTTGTTTACTTCACAGCAAAACTTTCCAAATGCAAGCACCRCACCTCAAATCAACTCCAGGCCTTTTATCTGCTTCATTGAGAATGACATAAYGAAGGGATAGTCCACAGCTTTCCATGAAATAGCCTTGGAGTCAATTGTCCAATTACTTTTGKTCCCTTTAAAAACAGGGTGGCACATGTTAAGGAGCTGAACCTCCTAAACCCTTCATCCAATTTTAATGTGGATACCCTCAAATGAAAGCTGAATGTCTGGACTTTATGTCCATGTACTTTATATAACCATAACTTGAATAAGTTTCAGTAAAAAGGTAAAAAGACAAAATGTGTGTCAGTGTCCAAATATATATGGACCTAACTGTATGTCAAACTTAAGGCCCATGGGCCAAATCAGGGCCTCATTAACTTTTTATCTGGCCCAAAGTTAATGCTTCAAATGTGAAATGATTTTATCTTTTTTGTCACTCTTTTTTTGACAGTTGGCCAATTTTTCACAAATCTTTGACTTTGGCTACAATCAACTTTATTTAGCTTTTTCTGTATTTATTTCTGATTTTAAATCCAAATATTTGGATTTTTAATGAGGGGTTTTACTTTTTACCAGATTTGGTGAATTGTGATCAGAGTGGAAATTAAAAATGATCTCCACTGGCCACAGTGGCATTTTAATACCTAGTTTTCCTGGGTTTTATTTAGKGRTTGCATCAAAAAATAGAGGAATGTTGAGAATTAAAAGGGGCGGACATTTTTTATTTACTGTCGCTGGTGCATTGTTCAAATTTACACATCACTTCATATATTTATCCGTATTTGGCCAACGTCGGGTGTTAATTTCCATCCCTCATTGTAGGGCTGGGCGGTATGACCTCACATTCATGTCACAGTATAAACTGAATCACTTCACGGTAAAGGTATATATCACGGTAGAAAATTATAATAAAATGTTAAGATAATGTAAATTTTAGAGAATTTTTTTTGCAGAAAACTGTAATCATAATTAAACCCAACATTTTTGCTTTAATATCTGCCTGCCAAACAATGAGCTTCTGTCTGCTGAACTTATCAGCTGCTGCTCTGCTGCGCGCTCATCTTCATCATCTTCATCATCAGAGCAGAAGCGCATGTTACATTAGYAAGATGGATTTATGACTGAACGAACATCCGTGTCTTTTTTAAATCACCTCTCTGGGTAAAAAGGATCCAATACTTTTATGTTTAAGCAAGTAATTCATGACATCCTTTACTGACCTAGGTTTTCATGACATGCTGTTCATCTGCAGAYAGAATGATTAAAGTCAGAACAAGATCTGCTAACAACAATAATCATTCTCAGCTATCACTTGTGTTTATCTTTGTGTTTTCCATTGACCTTGTATCAAATCTTGCTAAGATGACAGAATGGTGTTTGTTTATATATGAGGCCTCTCGAGACACGGTGTTCAACAGTTCAACAGCAGTATGGAGAGACAGTGACAGAGAGATAAACAAATTTTTTCTCCAACAATTGGGTGTAAAAAACTACAGTTGTTAAAGCTTCACTCTGCGCGACATGCAGCGGGAGGGAGGAGGAAATGGTCCTGCAACATGACGTAACTTTTCTGCAGCAGGAGGAGGAAATTTTGAGGATTTATTCTCTCTATACGTGTTTTAAAATGCTAGAATTTCTTCATTATATTTCAAACTCCAATTTCAAAGGCCAACTTCATACCATTTCTACCGGTAACGCATATACCGCACAGCCCTACCTCATTGTAATAAAATCTAAATGAAAAAATAAGTCATGCTAATGATGACATTTTTAATCCTTTGTGCTTGTTATGGATGCAACATAAAACATAATTTGGAAAAGATAGTTTGGATTTCTCTAAAAATGATTTGGTATAGACAATGTTTTTAGTAAATATTGACAAATTGGGCCTTGATTTCGACCAAGTTTTGAATTTGTGTAACTGAGTTTGACCCCCCCTGCTCTCTATTCATTTGTGACAGGGATATGTCATATTATTTTTTTAAGGTGCTGTAGGGCCGGGTAAAGGTGAAGCCAGCGATGAGGATGATGATAACGAGTTTTTCGACGCCATGGAAGAGGCTCCTGAGTTCATCACTGTACCTGCCGACCCGCAGTTCCACAAGTCAGTGTTTTGCCTCTCAGCACCCATTTATCTTTCATCTCTCTTCCTTTTCTGACACGTTGTTTGCTAAAGTCAAAAGGGTTTTGTTCAGAATGTGGTTGATTGGTTTTTGGTTTGGAATCAGATTTTTTTTAGGGGCACACCGATAAATTGACACAGATTTCCTTAATTTTGGAAGATCAGAGAAAAAGCTTCCAAAAAAATTGGTATCGGCCAAAATCCGTATGGATCAGGTCAGACATTTTTAAGATCTGTGATCAGACAGACAACTGCAATCAGTGCACCCCTGGTTTTATGTATTTTTCTACATTTCAGGACAGAGTAGATGTAGTTTTAATTGCGAGTCTCTTTCAGAAGATCGAGCAGTAACGCCAGCGGTCTCAACAATGAAATGTGTGCTGACGATCAGTCGGTACGTCTTGTTCCGGTTCATCTCTTCTTTAGATTCTTTGTGGTTTAGAAAAAAGTTACTTTTGAAACAGTAATTTAACTATAGAAGTTTATTAATTTTTTTAGCTCAACGAGGAGCCTCTGGCGATGAACCAAGAGTCCCCCTCTCAGGACTTAGTGCCCCTAAAAAAGAGGCGAACGCGCATCCCGGACAAACCGAACTACTCTCTCAACTTGTGGAGCATCATGAAGAACTGCATCGGCAAAGACCTGTCCAAGATCCCGATGCCTGTGAGTATCAGCAGCACTGCCAGGCATTTTCATCAGGCGTTAGCTAGAGGGGTAGAAAACCGTGCCAAACCTTAGAAAAGTTTGTTTTTTTACACTATGTAAATTTGGTAAACATCTGTAAACTTTGTATGCAGCATGAGGGTGACCACAATTATGTTATGAAGCCAGAGGAAGTCACACACAGAATAAATTGTTTCTGCTTGGATAGAGGTGGGTAGCGATGTTGCAGTTATTGTTGTTGTTTTCACTAACTCTGCTCCAGGTCTGTCTGTAACTTTTTTTTATATTTGTAAACTTCTGTAATTTTTATAAGTGAGGAAGGAGGTGTGCTTTATGTGTGGATGTGCTCATACTGAGGTTTTTTTCCTCACACAGTCTATGTTTAAGCTGGCTTCAGGCTGAGGACACCCTCAAAACAGAGATCTATGATCTTAATGGGATAAACCTGGTTAAGTAAAATAAATTATTAAAATATTAAGAGAGAAAGTTTATGAAAAATGCAGTGACTCTGTCAGCTGACTGTACCGTGCTCATGATCATGTACATTTCTCTTAAGTATTTTTAAAGTAAAATTTAAAAAAGTCAGAGTTGACTGGAGGCCAAAAAAGGCTGGTTTATACTTCAAGTTGCCCCCCCGCTGAGTGACAAAAAGTTGTACAACCTCCGTCCACTCTCCCGCTGCTATCCCCCGGTGRCAGCTGTCCTGTACATTGCCCCCAGTCAGCACTCCGAGACACGGACGTTGCGACTCGGAGCGTGTGATTGGTCTGAACTTCATGGGTGTGTTTATTCATGGAGCACCGGGCCAGTGGGCCAACGGTCCTGAGCTGTTGCGGCACCGAGAGTTGGACCGAGCTGGACCAGAACAGGACCCAAAGCAGCTCTTCCTTCTGCGAGTTCTTTTGTTAAAAAAGTTTTAAAAAGAACTCAGCTGGTTTGATCCAGGTCCCAAGGAGCGTGAGCACACAGCTGGTCGCATCTTTTTTTCTGTCCACATTAAAAAACAAAAAAACAAAACAAAAAAAAAACAGCTCTACTTCACTCAGCTTAATACTGATGTTGAGTGAAAAACCCCACTGTCCAGCCATTGTTATTTTAGTTTATATAACTTGTGGCAACCTGGAGTTGCACAGATTTGGTTTAATTGTTTTCACCTGTTTGTTTTCCACCACCGACACTAATTATTGATTCTGGTCCCCTCTGTAAGCCACAGTGACTTTCCCTTTAAGAACCGCCCATGCGCAGTGTGTTATGTTCGTTTGCTCGCTGACAGACCCGAGTTGAGCAGCAGCTCTCAAACCTGCGTTACAAAAGCTCCGTTACGAGGCGTTTAATCCCTCTGAGGAAAACTTTTAATCAGTCGTAGAGTTTATGGATGGATTGCTGAAGACGAACCAACAACAAAAAAGATAAATGTCTGCTGGAACCGACGCCGAAAAGCCTCGTCACGTTGCGTCGTTCCCCACTGCAATAAAGCTCTCGCCAACAAAAACAAACTAAAACCATTAAACTGAAAACACACCAGCTGCCCCTAAAACACACTCTACAAAAACTCCTGGATGGAGTTTTTTTTTGTACGAGTAGTTTTGTGAGGACTGTACTTTTTATGGGTGTAGTTTTGTGTTGAGAGTGTTTGTTTCTCTATGTCAAGTTTAATCTTGACCTGCATCAGCCCTCTTGCTTGTGAAGTCAAGCCAAGCCAACCCATTTGTTTGTGAAGCCAAACCTTCTCTTTTTTGCTTGTAAAGCCAAGCCATGAACTCTTGAATTAGTGGTTTCAAGTACCACGCATAGACACTGGGGGGGATTGTTTGTATTTTTTGTATTCAAATTGTTTTATTTTGTTGTTCTATTTTGTTAATAATATACACTGCTCAAAAAAATAAAGGGAACACTACTGCATTAAAAAAATAAAGGGAACACTTGAACAACGCATGCTAAGTCCAAGTAAATCAAACTTTTGTGAAGCACATTCAACTCTGTACAGAACAAAGTACTCAATGTGAATATTTCATTGATTAAGATCTGGAGTTAGTGTGCGTTGTTTAAGTGTTCCCTAACATGATATAAAACTTAAAAGTTGATTTTACATGATATAGCCCCTGTAAAACATTTTTGTCACTTATTATTTAATTAGGGTTTGAACAGGGTGTGTATTTATATATATTTTTTATACTTTACATGTCCTGGTGTGACAGGTTAAAAATTAAAACAACTCTAAACCATATATAAAATTATTGTAAAAACTCATCAGCTGACAAAAACATCCTGTATGTCGGGAGGGAGACCTGACTGGCACCCAACTTAATTATTCAAATAATATAATATATAATATATAATATATATATATAATATAAAACAACAATAAATCGGAACCGTCACAACTTTATATGAGCTGAGGGAGGGCAGAGGGAGAATTTATGTCGACCGCGTCTGCAGCTCGTTTATACTCGGTCAGGAAAAAGACGCGCTGAAATTGCGCAATCAACAAACGACTGTCGCACGTCTTATTGAAATATAACCCAAGCTAAAGGAAGCAGTTGAAGCTGTTTTGTTGTAACAACAACGCCACTGCAACTTTTTAAAAATACAAAACACCAGAAAACTGGCTGTTGCACCGGCTTATAACTTAAAAAAGAAAAAGAAAACATTAGTTTTGTTCAACGAGACGGTAATTAAAACAATATCTCTGGCAACAATAATAGAAAAATAAAAGATTAAACATGGTTTTATTTACCTTTGGAACAGTTTGGATTTCTAAGAAACGTATCTTTAATAAAAAAAGTTAATCCTCAAATATAGGTGTTTATAAATCTTTTTTTCTTTTCTTTTCTTTCAGTTTGGGAAACTGTGTTTCTGTTTATTCAGTTTTCTTGTTGTTCGTGTTCTATTTCAAGACGTTTTTGCTTTCAGTTTTCTTTCTTTTGTCTTGACCCGCCTGTTTACTTTGTGTTTTTATTTAGATTTTTAGACACACGTGACTTGACACAAGACTGTTTTATTAATTTATTTTATTTTGGAGACACTATTGAAGGTTTCTCTTTACACCTGGACTAATGAGCTCAAATAAGCAAAGAGCATTTTATTTACTGTGTCGTTTCCTTTTAAAACTACAATCTTTGAGTTTATGAAGAGAAGAAACTGTTTTTTTAACGCAGTGTGAATCTAAAATGTTTTCTAATGCAATATGAAGGGTTTAACTCAGAAAGCAGCCAGTAGGTGGCGCCTGTGTTCTTCAAAGTAGCCACAAGTTCTCTTCTTTTTTGATTTTTTTTTTATAACGCACACTTTTTATTAAACACTTTGAGACACACACCCCATTTCCATGAGAGACAGCTGCATAAAGTGAGTAACCCACAAATAAACATATAATGAATAAAAAATGCAGTCAATACATTTTTTTAATCGTAAATTTAAATATTGAATACAGAGAGAGGGATAAAATAAAAGTACTTTAGAAGCAAATAAACAGGGTTGCACATAAAATTTTTGGTCTGGTTCTCAGGGGAGAACCTAGGGTTGTTGCTTGGTGCTCATATTTTCCTTCACTCATTTAACACATTCATGGTGTCAGGGCATCTAACGTCCCCCTGTTCTGTTTTATGACTCCTGTCAGCTGCAACGTCTCAGGACATCATGTTAAATCAATCCAACAAGTTTTTTTTAATTTATTCTTTTACTCTGCATAAAGTTTGTAAACTACCTAAGTGGCCGAGGGGCTGGGTGTATGTCATATAAACATCACAAACTGAACATTTCATGGTTGAATGTCTTTTAGACTAACCTTTTAGACTAACATGTCCCTCAGATGGACAACTCCTGTTTGGTCTTCTGGATCTTTGGCCTAGGTTAAAACAGCTTTTCACACTCTCCAGTCCAAGCAGCAAATATCTGTCTTTTGCACAGAGCAAAATAACTTAAAACATACAAATGTTTTCTTTGTTAGACTGATTTATTTTTAAGACTATTTTATTCAAAAATATTATATTATTTAGATGGTTTCAGCTCATGAAATTATTTATTCTTCGTATTTGATCGTTTAATAAATTACATTTGTCCCAGAAAAGCTGTATCACAGTATGGTCCTAAATATAAATGTTTAGCACATCAAGAACCTTGTTTTTTATATAAAATTGTGAATGAAATTTGTGGATCTTTATGATAAATTAAAATAAGATTTAAAACTCTTTTACCTAGAGAACATGGCAAGTTGTTTTTATTTTTTTAACATATATATTTTTTTGACTGGGTTGTTAAACAGAGAATCATCTTTGCTTTAATATGAGGCAAACAAATGTTCTGTTAGAGTTAATGTGGTTTAATTAGAAAAACTCAGTGAATCTCACAGAAAGACTCAGCCTGCGCGCGCAGCGACACGCTCATACAGCAGTCTCTCAGGAGAGTTTAGTCACTCCCACAGAGTTGGACAGATCTGTTCAATAACATTCTGAACATATATTTAATGTAAAGTTAGGTTTTACAGACCAAAGTCTCTGGTAGTTCAGGAGCAAAGCGCAGGAGGAGATGTATGGACTGATCGCTGCAGCAGKTCGAGTCGACTCGAGCCAGCCCGCTGCTTCAACCACACATGCTCTCACTGAAAGTCCCACCCTGCTCTGCTCTGATTGCACAAAACGGCTCTGGACTTCATCTGATTTGTTGAAGGCAGTGTCCGTTTAATCCTTATATCAGGGTCCCACTCTGGCGCACCGAACAACGATCCATTCACACCAGTGCGGCTGGATTCTTTATTTTATTTTTTTAAGAAATAAGGTCGYGTTTGCGACCAAACTGGTCGCACTCTAGATTCCTGCTAGCTGTTGTTTTGACAGACAATCAGGTACAATCTTAGGTACGCAAGGGAGCTTCATGACGTCCCATCTGGTGTGCTTTTTCCTTTTTTGATCGCGCATGCGTACCTGCACACTGCTTATGTGCAACTCTGCAAATAAATCAAACTGAAATAAGTAAAAATTTAAAATACAAACTATTTAGTGCCTAAATAACTTGTATTTATTTTTGAAGATTACTATTCTTAAACCTGGATATATACAGCGGGTAAAATAAGTATTGAACACGTCACCATTTTTCTCAGTAAATATATTACTAGAGG